GCGGCGCCCGGGGGGTCCCCCGCGCGCTTCCTTCTCCCCTTCTCTTCCCGTCGCCGCCCGCCCTCGGTACGCCGCCCGGGCAGAGATCAAAGAGAGGAGCGGCCGGCCAGCGGGGGCGCGCGCTGCCAGGCCCGGCCCGACCGCGGAGGGAAAGCGGGCGATCAAAGGCCGCCGCGCGCGGCTCGCCCCCCGCGTGTCCCCGCGTCTGCCCGCAGAACCGAGGCCGCTGTCAGCTCCTGCCCTCTTCCTACATCGCGGAAGCTGACCGCAGCCTGCGGACTCAGTCACGGCCTAGCCGGGATCTGTCCCGGGCCGGAGGGTTGCAGCGCCCTTCTTGCTGCGTGCCGTGGCCCGGGCCCAGGCTGCGGGGGCTGGTGCTAGTTACCCTGCCCTTTCGGGGAAGGCTCCCGGCCGGTAACACCACGAGCGGCTGCCGTGTGTTGAGAAGCAGGCCGGCCTCTAGTATGCCGTTCTGTGTCATCTCCTTAGCCCATGGAGGAGTCCTACCAGGGTTTTTATCCTCAGTCACCCGCTTTCACAGGTTAGGAGGCTGCGGTCCGAGGGGCTCCGCGGGAGTGAGTGACAGAGCAGGGATTTGGCTGCAGACCCCGGATCCTGAATCTCATCCACTGTGCTGACCTAGTGCCCTGTGAACAGAGTTTCAGCGTGCCCAGCTGGCTGTCAGCTCTGTTACTTAGCTCACTGCTGCTCGCCCCCTAGCAGCTCACCCTTCTACCCAGAGCTAAGCCCTGCTCCCCACCCTGAAGGTGCCCAGCCCCCGTGAGCTCTGCCCCCAGTGCCTGGAGATTCTGAGGGAAGCGGGAAAGGATGGGTAAATTAGCGCCCACCTGTTGTTCAGGCTCTTGCTCAGGTTCCTGGGAAAAGATGCCCTCTGCCAGCATCCACGGAGAGAGCATGGGCAAGTGGGCTATTCAAGATGGCTGGTTTGAAGGACCAAGTGCCGTGCTGAGGTGTGTGTGTGTAAAGGACACACACAAACACACGCTCAGCGTTGAGGAAACCAGCCTCGCCACCCCCTCAGCTGCACCAGGGCTGCCTCTCCCATCTCGCCCATCTCCACCCTCCCTCTCCCAGCGAGACACCGAGGGGGCATTTTTGGTTTCCCCTGTTGTTCACCGTGTGGCTTCCCAGGTTGATACACAAAGACCACGTGACGTTCTGCGTTGGCAGCAGGCAGGACCCAAGGTCCCTGGCCCAGCCTGCCTGCAGGAATCCAGATTTTTCTAGCCTCCAACTGTACCTCGGAGAGGAAGCTGCACATTTGATTTTTTTTTTTTTTTTTTTTTTTGGCTCCGTATTAAAGAGCAAAGCCTGGGAAGTGGACAGGCCCCTCTGTAAACAGAAAACACATGTTTTCTGAGAGAAGGAGCTTTTCCTTCCCTGGTTTCTTCTGTGGACGGAGGTCTTCTTAGGCCTGCTGGCTCAAAACAGGGAGGCCTCGGACCCAGGGCCAGAGAGATGATTCATCTTTGCCCCATCCCGGGGACAACGTCCACCTTCTTAAATGGGGAGTGGGATGTTTGTCAGGGGATCCACTCAGCTGTGTCTGGCCTGTGGGGTGGGCCTGGGGTGTGTGCCAAGGCAGGAGGACCCTCGGGGTGCTGAACATGATCCGGGTGGGGGCCTGGACAGTTTGTATCTTCAAAGCACACACAGACCGTCTTGAGATGGCTGAGCTGGCTCTGGATGAGAACGTGTTCCTTGGGGGCCTCTAGCCTTATGTGGGTAGAGCCCTCTGACTTCGAAGAGAGGCCGGCCTGGGGCCTGACTGCAGGGACTAGGCATGCAGGGACTAGGTGCCCACTGCTCTGTGGTCTGGAGCAAGTTTCTTAACCTCTCTGAGCCCCAGGTCTCTGTCCAATGGAGATAATTACATTCAGGCTGCTGAGGGTTAAATAGGATAATGGGTGTTGTCTTATCAGATGCGCACCAAAAGCCACTTAGGAGAAAAATCCAACTTTGTCTCCATTTCAATGCCGAGCTATTTCCATACTCCCTTGGAGCTGCCTGGGGGCCCTCCACAAAGGCCCAGGGCTCCCTCACTTAGAGAACACCTCCACCTCCCCCACCCTCCCTTGGGCACACGGCTTGTGCCAGGACTCAGCCACCCCCACACCAGCACCGACACCTCTTTGGAAGCAGCCGTCTTGGGAACGAATCATTCCTTTGAATCTCCCCAGCAGGCTGATCTTTGTCTTTGAAGGGAGATTTGATTTTGGGAAGTAACCAGACGTCCTTTGGGCCAAGTCGGCTGAGTAGATGCTCGCTGGGAAGCCAAGCCAGGGCCTCTGTCTGGGGCCAGGATGTGCCGTGACTGCAAAGTCAGGAGACCCCCCGGGCGGCCCTGGCTCCCAAGGCAGCTGAGCAGGAGAATCTGGACCAAAGCACCTGGCTCGATGGCCGCTGGTGCTGGGGGTGTGAGCACGCCCATGCGTGTGAAAACACGGAGCTGCTCACCCACACCCAGGTTCGGGCAGATGAATGAAAACAACCAACGCCAGACAATCTAATTAACAGGAGCCTCCTTTCATGCCCTGGCCCACACTCCGATTTTCATGGAAATCTCTCTTTGTGGGAAAATTCCGAGCTTTTCTGATCCAGGCGAGTGTGTGACACATAGCGGTGAGTCCTGGAAGGGCACGGGGTTTAGAGGGCGGATTTCCTCGTGGCCCTGGCCCTAACCAACGGTGTGGCCTGGGGCTCCTCCCATCATCTCTCTAGTCCTTGCTTTTCCCGCCTGAGGAATGAGATCATTATGCCAGTCCTGGGCATGGGAAGCAAATAGAAAAACACGGCTATGAACGTGCTGACAAATCCTGGCCTTGTGTGTCAAGGGCCTTGAAACACGGACATGCTTTGACCCAACACTTCTGCTTCTGGGAGTCTATCCTCAGGCCATCATCATACCAGCTGACCCCGTGTGTGTCAGTAGAACTGTGCTCCATAGGGTTTTCAATGGCTGGTTTTTTGTAAGTAGATTGCCAGGCCTTTCTTCTGAGGTGCCTCTGGGTGGACTCGAGCCTCCAAATTTTTGGTCAGCAGCCGAGTGCGTTAACCGTTTGTACCACCCGGGGACTCCAGGAAATCATCATAGTTGTGCATAAAAATGTCAGCATAAAGATGTCCCTAGCAGCATTATTTATAATAACGAAAACTTAAAGAGACTCAGTGTCCAACAATAGTGGCCAAAATGATATGCCATGCATAGGGTGGAATCTTCCACAGCTCTCGGGTGCTCCGGGGAGGAGACGCACAGGGTCACCCACCTTCGTGAGAATTCTCCAGCCTGTCCCAGTGACGTTTCTCATTAAAAATGTAAATAATAATAATAATTTTAATTGGCATTCACAAAACCCAAAAAGTCAGAACAGCCCAAGTGTCCATCACAGACAAGTGGATAAGCACGCTGGGATAGGCATACGATAGAATACTACAAAACAAGGAAAAAGAAGGCTCTGTTGATAGGCTCCAGAACATAAACGAATGTCAAGATAATTATGCGGGGCCAGTGTTCAGACTCAATGACCCCACTTATATGCAATGTGAATAAAGGTAAAACCACACGATAGGGCTAGCGTTCAGATCCCCCGGGCGGTGCCTGGGGCCTGGGAAACAGGGAAGGAGAAATGAGCGAACGTTTCGTGAAGGGGAGTTTCCTTTCTTGACTGTGGTGGCGGTTACGTGGGTGTGTACATTTGTCGAAACTCAACGAACAGTTCAAGTGACAGGCATCTTACTGTCTGAAAATTATCCCTCGATAAAGTTCATTTTAAAAAATCAATTCACATTTAGACTTTATTTTCCAAATCCTGTATAGAATAGTATTTAATGACATAAAATGTCCATAATATATTAAGCAAAAAAATTGTGAAATGATCCAATTTAATTTTTAAAAGTATATGTATATATATATATAAAATCCATTGCTCTCCAGTCGATTCTGACTCATAGCAACCCTATAGGACAGAGTAGAACTGCCCCATAGGGTTTCCAAGGCTGTAATCTTTACAGAAGTAGACTGCCACATCTTTCTCCCAGCTGGTGAGTTCGAACCACCAACCTTTAGGTTAGCAATCAAGCTCTTTAACCACTGTGCCACCAAGGCTCCTTGCATATATATGTGCACACACACATATATATACACACATATGTAAACGTATGTGTACATACACACACACATATATATGGTTTGAAAAACCAATATATACCCAGTAATTATGAGTAATCTTTGTTTTCTTTTTTCTGATTTTCTGTATTTCCAATTTTTCTGTAATGAACATTTTTATAAATAAATTAAATAAAAGAAAACATGCTTTTTCTCTTTTCCAGCTGTAGCAGGCCAGGACGTGGAGCTGGGCTCCTGGAGGGGCAGGAATGCAAGGACTCCCGGCTCCAGCGAAAGGGACCATTGCCCAGCAGGTGGTGGCAGACGGTGGGGGTCGGGGGGCTGGGTCTCCCTCCCTCGTTCTTTGGCTGGTTTCTGTGCTGGGTTGTTCTTGAAGGCTGTCATGCCCACTGGGCACTGCTGAGCTTCTGGCATTCCTGGGGAACGGCCGCCTAGAGGAGCCCTATCCCGGGGCCAGCTCGGCCGCCCCCCGAGTCAAACCTTCCCTTGGGGAGCACCAGTCCCCTGTGGCTGTGTGGGTCTCTCCAGAATACGCCAGTCTCCCGTGCTGCCCTGGCGAGGAGGGGTGCCAGGGGTTCTGCTGCTCTCCACCCCGGGCCACTCACCCTGCCAGACTGGCCCTCCTGGGTGAGAGGTACAGGATGGCCACTGTAGCTCAGACTAATGAGGTTGGGTTTCCACATTTGGGGAAACTGAGGCACAGTGAGCTGTGGTAGCTGGTGGAGCTCAGAGTGCACCCCATGCCTGGATTCTTACTGCCTTCAAATGTCACTTCCCCAGCTTCTGGGCCCCAAAGAACTGATTGGGACGGTGTGGGTTTGGAGGCCAGGGGCTGTGTCCTTCGTGTGTCTGCTGGTCAGTTTGTCTGCTCCGCGTTCCTGTGTGAATATCTACGGCATAGTTAGTGACCCATGGGCTTCGCGGTCACCGTGAGCGACTCCAAGAACAGGGCTCCGGGTGGAGCTGCTGGGACACTGTCACTCCCTGCCCTTCCTCTTGCCGCTGGTGGCAGAAAGGTGCCAGGAGGAGACCGAGCACTCGCCTGTCCCTCCCTCCCTGACAGGGGACTCTACAGCAGACCGTGGGAATGAAAAAAAAGAGCTAGGAAACTGTTCAAAAATGTTTGTAACCCAGTCACAAATGGGAAGGGTGCGGCCGCACACAGCAGGTGAAGGACACTGCGTGATGTGGTGTTTTCATCACCCATTGCTCTGTGCCTGCAAAATGTCATCGTTTATGGCTCTGGGGAACAGACAGCCCCAGGGGCTGCGGATTTCTACCTGCGCGTGAGGGTTGCATTCAGGCTGCATTCAGCTTGGAATTATTTCATAATGTGTGAGACAATCAGGTCAGGTTTTCCTACGAGGCCTCACCAGCGTTTCAGTGTAAAAATCAGCAGATGAGAGAAAAGAAAAATGTTTTTTAAAAAACTGTATTTGTGTATCTATTTATATAACTGTAAAGAAATACACTCCAATGTGACTGGCTGAAGGCTTTGGAGTAAAGCAGCTAGGAGGAAAATTCTTTCTCTTTCTCTTCTGTATTCTCCACACTTCCTATGACTGTGTGTATTACTTTTATAATGAGAAGAGATAAGATGCACATACATTAAAAAGTAACAGCCTGTATCTGAGCCTGCATTCCAAATGGTAACTACGGCAATCGAAGGTAATGAAGTATCTGACATGTGCCAGGTCCGCCGCTAAGCCCTCCCACCGTCCTGGTTTCGAAGAACACCCAAATCTGTTCTCACCTCTGCCCACTAGGGATCCCAGGCCCCGAGGCGGCCCCCGGCGTCCATGTGGTGGAGCTGGGGCCTGAGCTGCAAGGTTGGACTCAGCACCATGCCATTTTCGTGACAACTTCC